CTTAGCCAAGCCGGCCGGGAGTCGGGTAGCCAGTCCCCTCCTACTGAAGCAAAAAGCAGAATTTCTCCTGGTTTCGATGGAATAGCCGTTTGCTTCCGGAGAGCAGCGCTTGCTGCTTCCCCCGGCTGCCCCTTTCCCCTCCCCCGGTGAGGTCAGAGCCTTGCGTTGCAGCATCACCGGCATTTCCATGGCGACAGACCATGACGTCACAGGCGTGGGCAATAGCACCCGGGACAGTGATTTCATTGTACCTCTGAAGCTAGGCAGGCCTGGGGCTCGGTCAGGAGATGTCCCCAGGCCCCCCAAGCCCCGGGTCCTGACGAAGCCGTGCCGATGAGTCAGGGCCGGCAGCCTCTCCCCTGCCCGCGACGCAGCCTCAGCCTCCGGGCATCTCTGCCTGGCGCGGTTCCCCAGGCACTCTTCAAACGAGCCGAGGTTTTCTTGTCTGCAGCCTTGCCCGCGTTCCTGTGCTGCTGTCTGCTTTACTGATAATTTGCCTTGTGGGGGGAAGCTAAATATTTTTGCTCTGCAGAAGGCTGTGGGTGTTGGCTGCTTGGCAAAGGGCGCTGGCCTCGCTCGCTGCCTGTGCGCGCTGGGTGAGCAATCCCCGTTCGCGTGGCCCGTAAAGCACGGCAGAGGAGGGCTCTGCGAGAGTGCTGCGTGAAGGCAAGGGCATGCTGCAGCTTGTTGTTGTGTATAAACACTGTTGTTAATATCTGGAACATGGATCCTCTTGGAGGGTGAATGCCAAGGATGAAAGTGCTCGTTTAAATATTTCAGAGAAAAGCAAAGAAAACTTGGGTTATCTGAAGCCCAATTTTTAGTAAGCAGAACCTGTGGGTGGTGGCGTCTGTTTGTTATTTCAAAAATTACACATTCACATACATATGTATGTGTTTGCTTTCCCGGTACCCCTCAACGCAAATCTATGCATGCCTGATTTGCTGCTCAACATACGTTGTGAGGAGTTGTAATTTTTTACCTGTTGTCTGTGTATCTGGCACAGATAACACGGTTTGATGTGTACGGCGGGGGCAGCTCTCGCTGTAGGTGTGTTGAATGGGGAACTGAAACGGTCGCCTGTTCCTTGACGTGAAGCTGTTCAGCCTGGAGAGCTTTCCTGGGATTGCTGGTCACTGTACGAATCCTGCCTCGAGTCCTGGCGTCAAGCTGTGCTCTGCTTCGTGCTGATTTTGCTCTCTTGCCGCCATTTAAATGGGAGTGATTCTTCTGAAAGCGGTGGGAGCGATGTTTTGTGTGACTGCGGAGGGGTGTGTTGTGCTGTTGAGTCCGAAGGAGTGATGCGTTTTATTCAAAGTGAATCGTAGCATCAGTATCTAGGCTTGATGCGTCAGAGTGGTGTGAATGACACGCTAATCCTGTGAACGCCTAAGCTCTGATATTCGAGATCAACGATGCTAAAAATGTGTTCGGCTCAAAATTCAGTTACTTGTCGCTTGTTTTCCCATCCCCAAAACAGCCGTGTGCTGGGATTAAAAGCCAGAGCGAACCTTAAGAAATCTGCAAGCTGGACTCTCCCGGTTGTCTCCCATCCCGCCACGTAGACTTTCTGTGTGCTGGTTTGTTTGGTCGGCTGGTGAGGTTTCCCACTAAACACGAAGGCGCAGCAGTTCCTGCTACGTTTTTTCTTTTCGTGGGGTTTTCTCCAGGTTGTGCAAAAAAACATTTGAGCACAAAAAGTAGTAGTCAAAAAGCAGTGGAGGATTTTGCTTTCACGCTAAGAAACGTTTAAAATTGAAAATGACGAGAAACCCCTGAAGTTAAATCACAGTCTCTCTGTGTGCAAAATTTTCACTACGATCTTTTGCTACTTTTGCAGAAAGCCCAGTCAGCTCCTACCTGGCTTTATGTACAGTCTTATTTGCTCATGGGAAATGCTGCCTCATGTAGTGTAGGAGTTGGAGAAAATGCTGGAACAGCTATTTAAATGAACCCCTCTTCGCCTGTGCCACGTACTGATCTGTGCCCAAGGGTGAGCACATAGCGTGAATCTCAAACTGTGGAGCTGTTTCAGCTGTTTCCTGCTGGACACATTGAAATCTTTAAAACCATATCAAATTCCTGACAATATTTTGCATGCTTTTGTGTAATGACAAATATTATTCAGCTCCCAAGCTAGGGAAGCTGCAGGAGCTGATGTACGTCGAGGGGTCTGTCCCGGGGATACCTGGCATGACTCTGCTCTCTCGGATGCCGCTGGCATTAAGCACCCGATGGGGTGCTGGGACGAGACCGGAACTGGGCTCAGCGATGCTGGTGGGAATTCTGTATTGCCTGGAAGCATCCCTGTACTCTGCAACCAGGGGACAGTTTGCAAGACTGAGAATCTCTGAAAATTGAGGATTTTTGCACCAGGAGAGAGGGTTGCACTGAACACTTACCTGTTATTGTGTACTTTATAATCCTTCTCTGGCCAAAACATTCCTTGAGCTGAAATTGGAAAGTGATTGCCTGTAAACCTGGGGCTGGATCCTTTCTCTCTCTCTCTTTTTTCTAACAAATATTTGTGAATGTGTTTTCTGATCATCTGGTGCTTTCTCTCGTGAAACTTTCCACCAAAACTTGTTGACACGATATGGAACCAAACAAATCATCACACAGAACTGACTTTTTGATTTAAGAGCTTGAGCTCAGCTTTGGTTTCATGAAGCCTTTTCTGGCTGGACTTTGCTGCGTGAGAAAGGTTTTTCTCCCATCGCCAAAAGCTGTTCCTCAACCTTTTGGTTTTACATAGACCTATTTGGAAGTGGTTTTGTGATGTGATGGCGTCAGTCCAGCTCTTGGTTGACAAAAGCTGACCAAAGTCACAACGCCCCAATTGGCGCTAAGGGGTATATTTGGCAGAAAGAGTAGGAAGGCCAGCGCTGAAATGGGCAGAGAGGCTGACATGTCGCCGGCCCTTCCAGGTGATCCCTCTAGCTCAGGGCTCAGGCAGAGGGAGCCCGGCTGGGCGGTGTGGAGGTGTTTGCCGTGCTTCTGTCCATGCTGCATCTGCTCTGAGCACTTGAGCTTCCCTGGCTGTTAATCCAGTACTTTTCACAAGCATTAATTGCAGTTAAAAAGAATTAAACAAATATTTACCTAATATCAGATCACAACCAGTTTATAAATATGCATTTTTTTAAATCCATGATTGCTCAGCTTCTGTAATAAATAATATTTATAGTCTTAAAGAGACCCTTCTTTTTCCAGAAGAACCGACTCCACATAAAACCAACAGCCCACCCTCTGGAGTTACATACGCTCATGATGTCTTGGACTGTGGCCTCAAGCCATGCCCCCTGCCTTTTTCTAGCCTTTCTGCAGATCCCATGGGCAGATATGGACAGCCAGATAGTATAGGGACAACACCTACACACCCTGCCAACGCTGCAGGGGCCTCTGCTCCGAGCCCTAGGATTGAAATTACTCCATATCATGAACTGATTCATTCAGGGGGTCCCTTCCGCAGCAAAGACACAGATGTTCTTTTGGTAGAACATCAGTCAAACTCAGCTACCGCTAGCCCAAGGGTTACCCTGCCTGTCCCTGGCTTTGAGGGCTACAGAGAACCACTGTGTTTGAGCCCAGCTAGTAGCGGCTCCTCTGCAAGTTTCATTTCAGAGACAAATGTATCTCCTTGCACATCACCATGTGTTTCACCAAATAATGGTCCTAGTGATGACCTTTGTCCACAGTTTCAAAACATCCATACTCATTATTCTCCTAGAACCTCTCCAATAATGTCACCACGAACAAGCATCACGGAGGAAACCTGCTTGGGACGACATTCACCATCACCCTGTCCCAACTCCAGGTCTTCATCACCAGGTGCAAAACGGAGGTACTCTTGCACTGAGCTCTACAGTACTCAGCTGCCTTCCACTTCTCCACGACAGTCAAGGACCCCCTCTCCACAATCCTCTCCTCGCATCCCCTTGAGAGAAGACAACTCTTCAGTTACTTACACGCAGTTGCCCAGCGCTTCTCTTTCCATGGATGCTATGAATAGCCTTCCTACGGATCCTTCCTGTGGCGTTCCCACGAAAATTTGGAAAACCAGCCCTGATCCTTCATCAATGCCTTCCCACAAAAACAGCATTCCATGTCACGTCTTTCAGACTGTTGACTTCCATGGGCCTTGTGAGCAGGAGGACAGGAGAAACTCAGCCCCAGAATCAATTTTGTTGGTACCTCCATCCTGGACAAAGCAACTGGTGCCTGCAATACCTATCTGCAGGTATGTAATGCTTCTTGCGGTTGCGTGTTTTCTCATGGTGTGATGTCCTCTGTCATGCATAGTGATCCCTAGGGAGTGTTTCCTTGGGCACATCCTGCCGCGGACCAGAGCTAAGTGCTCAGGGACAGCGCTGGTTAAATGGGAGCCCAATCCATGATGATACTGAGAAGTGAAAAAATCTGGGTTTGGAAGGAACATCATCAAAGTGGTTCATTCGTAGCACAGCATATGACAAATTCAATTTTCCAAATTATTCGTCTAAAAGCAGATTGCAAACAGCCTTTGACAAAAGCTAAATACTCTTGTTCCATCCTGCTGCTTTTAAAGAAAATGGTTTGATTGCTTTTCTAAATTCAGGGAATGTCTCGCTTTAAAAGTTCCATCGAGGATAAAAATACTTTAAATATTTCCTGATTCAAAATAGAGTACGCTGCTCCAAGTCATTCTGAGCATTTGGTCAACCCCAAGTGACTTATTGTTGGTTGTTAATTTGTTAATTGTCGTTTAACCCAAATCTCAGTCATTGGCACTACCCTCCATTGTCTGGCGCTGGCGGCATGCAGGTCTGCACCCTGAGCGGGGCACATCTGCCAGCGTGGAGGCTGCCAAATGTGTGACTCCACTTGCAGTCACCACTGGCACCCTGTCAGCCCTGCCATCCCGCTCGGCAGCAAGGTTGTCCCCATGCTGACATTATCCCGTGCTGCTCCCGACCTGCTAAACACAAATTGCGAGTGAAAGAACATGGGCCATGACTTTCCTTGGCTTGTTAGATCGGTCCTGGCAGCAGTTTGTACTAACAAAATAAGAGTTGTATAAAATCGAGTGCAAGCTCTAGTGGTACGTTTCAATGTTTTAATTTCATGTGATAAACCCTTGTGTATTTTGGTAACAGGAAAACTAGTATCAGGTAAGAATATTTAGCATTTTATTCACGTGCATTTTAATATTTATGGAAATCATAAATATTATTACTTTACGCAACTGGTAAGTAATGGTAAATGGAGTTAACATTTCACGATATATGTTCCGTGGTCGAAGTTTAAGATGCATAGCAAAAGCTAGATAAAAGAGGAAGATCTTTGGAAAAAAATACAATTGCTACAGATATTTCTATTTTATAGAAATATTCTGTTGTCTTCTGCAAGGAGATGGGCTCGCAGAAATTATTGTGTTCATCCTGAAGTTCAGCAGAGTTTGTAATCAAGCATGAGCAGGACAGCATATTCACATTGAAATTAATAGCAGGCTCTGAAACGTTTTGGCAGGATGGGGTACTTGGGGGAAGAAGGGATCAGGGCTTTGAGATATAAAGCATTAAAGAGTTTCAGCTGGTGTGGTGTCTCTCTGCCCAGTTTGCCCGTCCAGT